CGCCATCAAACCAATTTTTGGAGAACGTTATATATATATATAACGTTCTCCAAAAATTGGTTTGATGGCGTCTCCTGCAGCGCCGTTTGTTTTCAGATACCAGGAGGTCACTGAAGCAATTCACTTCTAAATGATATTTGAGCATCTGTTCTACTGCGTGCATAATTTTACTTTTACAGCAATACATTGATCTTCCTCAGTGACTCTTAGAACATTGTATTTTTTAATCTGCAAACATTTCGCAATCTGTCAAAGTTTCATACCTATTTGCTGTACTGTCTCTGAGCAGACAGATCCAGCAAGCCTTCAGTTTATCAATAAATTACAAAACGTAGATATAGTAGAAAGCGATGCCGCTGGTGAAAGCGGTGTTATCGCAGAAGCATGAGAATTGTCAGGGAAAAACGTGCCAAAAAATTTAGTGCAGATATATTGATCTAGCGGCTATGTTCGGTTAGAAGTTTCCTGGCAAATGTCCTTTGGTCCTTCTATGCTAGAAAACCGGTTTAAATGTACAATTTTTCTTAAAATTTCTAGTCAGTGTAGTTTAATGGTCCCGTGATTCATTTCTATGCCACTGTTCCAATGGCTTATAAATGTTGTGCATGTTATACGTTAACAAAATATATGGCATTTTCGCGCAGCAGATATTCATAGCAAGATAACTTTTCTCTTTTCAAGCAATTCATTTACTTCTTTCGTATTATTCAAATTAAGTACCCCCTCAGCTAGATGATAAGCCTCCATCTCCTTCAAAGATCGTAAAGTTGGCACTGAATCAATTTCGATGGCTACTTATACTTTTTAGTCATGGAGGCAGCAGCGTTAAACGTTGTTAATGTTCCTGATCCTGTGCCAGTGTTTCAGCTTCCGCAAAAATAGCCTGAGAATGGAACAGAGTCAGTCAAGTACACTTGTCCTTTGAGCAAGTAGTTTCTATTTCGCCTCCCTTCCTGAAACTATTCGCAACAAGTGCCATCACAGCTGTGACTTATTAATCTATAGAAACAGCGGCTGATACTAAGGCTGTCTTGGAAATCTCTACTCCAGATCATTTCTGTACTCCCATTAATCGATTCTGTCATCGCGGTAGGGCTCTACTAAAACACCAAGACCGGCTTGACTGCACTTAGTGATGTCGACACCTGAACATAATAATAGCTTACGCTCGCAGAGGTTCATAGTTCCTGATCCTTGGCAATTTGTTGACTATACCTAGTCGGTAGGTTGCGACCATATCCATCAGCCCCTGCAAGTTGGGAATTTGAGCTCCCAACGTCGTTATCGTTCCCATAAAGCCTTACCGGACGTGCTATAATAGCATTGTGCTAACCGCTTCTACCGTTCAGAACCTTTAGGGGCTCAGTTGGTGACTGATATCTTATTCTTCTTATTGTCGCCGTGCTGCTACGGCTCCAGCTGTCAGAAGATGTGAAGTAGGCTAGTGCTGTTTATGCAGAGTTTATGCTGTTTTATTTCCCCAACAACCTGCGGTATCCTTGGCATTCCGAGCGATGACCGAGCCCGTATGACGTTCGATAACCGTAATACCGTTAGGGACAGGTAGCTCGATTTTATTGGAGACTTCGCCTCGTTTCCAACCTTCTTCTTTTCTCATCTTTGCTGGAACCGGCAACGGCGAGAAGTGAAGGAGAAGAAGTGTTACAAGTAAATGCGTTCAACGTTGCATGACATCCGTAAGACCACCATATCACAGATCTACTAATCACCCAACGGCGCCGTCCTATGGACTGCAGTTGGGTTTGAATAAACTTTAACTTTTCCCTTGCTAATCATCGGCACTGCCATTTAATGAATTTAATGAGTTTCCAAACGCAATTGTAAGCAAAGAATGAAATAAAAATTGATGATCAGCATAAATAGAGACTAATTTTTGCCAGCTTAAACATTAGCCTGATTACACCAATTCTTTTAGTTTTGCTTTTTAACTTTTAAAATGTACTTTTTCTCATAAATTAAGAAGTGTTAGATGTCGTACAGCCGTCGACAGTAATCGTTTTAGGGATTTGTAATTTGTATCGGGTGTGATGAAGATGTTACCATTTTTCATCGTTATAAAACTGCAAATAAAATTTGTAGTTGCGACTTGTTTTTATGATGATCATTGTGTTCTAGTAAAATTCTGACATTCGAAAGCTACGAAAAAAGAAATTTATGCAAAGCACAGTTGTTCAGTGCTTTCGTTAGACGTACGGCTCTCTAAGGTTACGATACACCCATCTCACGTACCGTCAGCATGTAGCTGTTGACAGGTATCAGTTACGCTTTCGTGGTCGATGCTTCCAACTATAAAAACAAGATCGATAGCTCTTTCATGAACACTGTTTAAACGCTAACACATTGTTGTACT